CTCAGACCACTCACTTCCAGTCTACTTGCTGTCCTCACGGCAAAAGGTGGGTTTGTTCGTACTCCTTTAGAGTATGCAGTTATCTGACTTAGGCATGGAAGGGGTCTCTGTCTTTCAGTGGAGGGGTCGTGTTCACTTTAGCTCAACTCACGAATCATGCTCACAATGAAAAGCTGCTATGCAAGTTTGAGTGAAACGCGTGGACACCTTCGAGATTGTACATACTTCATCTTCAGTCAGCTGAAGCTTTGTTGACCTCATAAAGTAGAATCTTTGTGATGTTTGGTTGTTGTTCCATCTCCAGTGTGAAATGCAAAAGAGGGAAAGTTGTTGAAAACCCAGATCACACCATCCGTTGTGGAAATCACAATGGTTGGTGGATCGCATTTGGTCTTGAGAAGAATGTTTCGATACACGCACTCTCTCACCTGAGTGGGGTATCAGAAGTCGCTGGGAGCGTATGTAGATTACAAATGGAACCCATCAGCAACCCAGACTATGACGCATTTCAAAAAGTTCGATCTACATCACATCGTTGGGTTAGGGAGAATCTTGGCCAATTACACACCTACGACCTACGCTTCCCCCTTCCTCCTATCTCCCTTCGGCATCGTCCCTCATTTTGCGATCTACTCACCACCTTACCCAACCTTCTCAGAAATCCCAAGCTCTGCCGTCAAGCAGGATGTGAGGGAGACAACATTTTAGGTTCAGGTCTAAGGCGCTCTATAGTCTCAAAACTGCACCTGAAATCGAATTCGTTGGTCCGAGAACACACACGTTAAATATGATTCGGCTCACTAATTCGGCTCACTTGTCTAAGTTTGGAACATGCCTATCAGCCTGTGCCTACCACACTTTTGCTGTTTCCATCATCTAGAAGATATTCCTGCGTTGCTTCACCGGCGCGCCGTCCACGTGTAGTATGGGTAACCCTCAAAAGAAGCACCTGTCAGGAAATGTTCCCTGTACCAGTCCGGTCATTAGAGTACAGGAATCGGCAAGCCACCTTTGTGGGATGCAGTGCACACCATCGTTAGGTTTTGCCAACTACAAAAGTTGTGGCAAGAAAGGTACTGCCGTCCGAAGACTGCCTGCCACCGTATGTCGCTGCTATCGTTACTCAGACTGTTTCATGAGTCCCCTCCTTTCCAATCTTGGGCGCGTATGAAACGCCTCTGGTTGCTGCATGATTGATGTAGGTTTAAGCATTGAGCCGGGCCCCCGCCAGACGGTTCAGGGTTGAGGAAAATTCCGGTGTGGGAATGTGGCGCGATTCATTCTCCACCCGAGACCTAGATGACGACGGGGCTACGTAGGTGCTTAACCTCAACGTTGTCCCTCTCCACACACTGTCTGACGGGGTAATTTGGGGATTCTGGAAAGATTCGGTAAAGTGGTGGGTAGGCTGCAAATGGGTGGGCATGTCGAGAACAAATAGGGGATGGGGAGCGGGTGGCGGGTTCGCATTTAGCGAAGGTTCTTCACAACGCAACGATGTGAACTGATCGAACTGTTTAGTGCTGGGTTGGGCAGGTGTTCTGACGCAGGTGACCTGCATTCCAGGCGAGTATTGATACCTCCGAGATTTCTAGTTCTTCACACAATCTCTGGATCAACGATGACAAAAGCGATAGAATGCCTCCCCTTCTCGAATAGGGTGTAACCTGTGAAGTTGTCCACCACTCAAAAGTACTTTAAGAATTGCTGTACCATTGTTCGCTCAATAGTGCTACGTCTTTGACATCATTTTAAAAATGGGAATGTGCTAATGCAGATCTTGACAACAAATAGTGAGCTACTACTTAATTCAGTGTTCGCATCTGATGATGAGGAACGCCTCATGATGGACGTATTCCGGGGATATAATTCACTTATTCAAGTGAGTTTCTATCGAATTTCCGATCAATATCGACAAGTACATGGATTTTCATTGCAGCCCACCAGAAATGCCAGCGACATGCCAATCATCGTGAAGGTCGCATTGCAGCTTGTCTTACTTATAAACGTAGTGAGTGCTTGTCGATCTTCCTCAATCCCTCGTCTTTCCCGTTTCCTAGAGGCGCCTTCAAGCTGTGATTTCGATTATAGCAGGGGGAAGAGGAGCTGATCATTGAGAAATAATAAAGGTTCCCATGAAACTTCATACAGCACACGTTTTACGTTGGAATCAACCAGCCCATGGGGGTCGAATTGATCGCAGTAGAGGTGGAGAGGGGACGAGAGGGATGTACACATTTCGCAAGATTTTCCCCCGTGTGTGCTCCCTGACTCCATTACCATGTGCAGGGATCAGAAACAATTCATCGACTAGCTTGAGAAAGATCATTGCAGGATGAAAAGAATCAAGTCATGCATACAAATGTGTGGTTAACGTTGGTAGTCGCTTCGCATACAAATCTTCTGAATGTCTCTCTCGAATTGCCTTCTTATTTGTCGATTTACAATTTTTCTGCAGAAGTGGCACGACTTCCAAATGCGATGGAATCCTGTGAATTATGGTGAGATTAAAGAGATAAGAGTTACACCGGATAAGGTCTGGTTACCTGATATCGTCCTTTTCAACAAGTGGGTTATCCGCTTACTAAGATACCTTTATGCTTTCCATCATCTAAACGGATTCTGATCCAAGTCTAACCGAGAACCGAATAAGCGCGCCTTCCAACTTGTGGAAGATGTGCCAGGACAACCCTGGCAGCATGGTGGGTAAACGGCAACTCAAATTCTTTGAAGAGCGGCAGGCACACCGTCATTATGTTTTGCCAACGAGCGGGTGGGAGGATCGTGTCTGATTGCTGGGTGAGACGGGGGCTGCATGCAGGAACAAATCGCCATCAAACAACTGTGTCGATGGTCGTGAGGTTCACCGTGCGAGGCGTGGTCAAGGTTGCTCAAAATATATTCTGCTAATGCAGTATGTACGTGCAGTACGCATGCAGCGAAAAAATACTGAGCGCGCAGACGAGAAATCAGACAACGAGAGGCGTTAGAGTACACAAACCGCCTAAACAAACAACTGTACCTATGCGACCAGAGCTCTAACGATATTGGGGTGGGGACACCCTAACGTCGTAATTATATATTGCGCTTGTGACGCACTGCTGTGCTTGCGACGCACAGCTGTGAATGTCTTACGATCTTAGTTGTTGCAGACCTAACTAGCTTTCATATAAAACGTGCACGGAGTTTCTCTCCAAGCACAATGAAATAAAAACTGATGACGTGGAAGAGCTCTAATTTTCTCGGAAAAAATCACTGGATTGTCAAAGTTTTCGTCGCAGTTATTTATTGTGATTTGTCGAAAGAAAGTAATGCTTGAGGTCCCGCTTTTTCGTAAGCATGGAAATTT